ACTGTACAGAAGTACAGAGGGACGCTGTTATACTCAAGTTCCTGATTAAAGGTATTTCTCACAGCCTCATAATGTAGTCGGGGGCACGGGTGGCCCAGTCGTCTAAGGCGACGCGATTCGCTGTGCAGAGTTGCGTCCCTTCGTCATGCCAGAAACCTATAATTGTTGGTTCAAATCCCGGTTCGCCCCAGTTATGTTTCTAGGTTTGTCAGCACCATATCCGTGCTCGTGGGTTTCACCGAAGTGGTAAACGTCTGAGACCTGCATCACTTCGGGCTTTCCACCCTAAATTAAGCTGACACGCCGCGATATAACTGGAATACTGTAAAAAGCGGCGTTAAACCCAACTCACTCACTCACTCACTCACTCATAATGAAGTCTCACATTTGATTGTTACCCCACGTCAGCAGCGGGCGAGGAACAATTGAGTTCTTTTCAATCATGATCTGTCCTTACAAATCCACATATTGCTATTGTCGTATAAATATATCTGGTACTGAAATGCAGTTTACAAACAACTCATGACGGACACTGGGAAAACAACTACAACAGCTTCACATGGATATACACACCTCCTGATAGTTGAGTGTTTAAGAACATTGCTGATATCTTAACAACTGCACTTGTTTCCCACTTGTTTCCCACAACACAACATTTAACGATTGTGGTGAACATGGGATAGGACTAAACAATAAAACTGTCATCAACATGCAAGACCATTGTCCGCCACCGGCAAATAGTCATTAAATTCATTTCACCGATGGCATAACTTCAAACATTCACAAAGGAAGTGTGCACGCGTGCAGTTTATGTTGGTCCAGATTTAGCCGTGTTTGCGAGTAGCAACGTGTGCTGCATGCCATGGTTTCCCTAGCCCACGCTTTATAACGAGGAGAGCACTCAGCGTTAGACATGTGTGTTCCTGTATGCTGTGTAACTGTGTAACTGCGAGCACAGCAATTACACCTGAACTGTGTTGTATCGCCTGTAGTAGCATATGTTTCGTATGTATCTTTTATATGTGCGTAAATATCACTGAAATGTGAAGTGGATGCTTCACCACGCTAAGAGAGATGTTAACGAGTTTTGACCTTCCCAAATGTTCAACGCTCGCGATATCAACAACGTTTCATAGAGAAACTTACTTTCTGTAAATATAATTGACAAATCAATGGCGAGCAATAGTCACAATTCCATATTCTGTATTGAAACGATGAAAGTATTTTTCCATGTTTGTGAAGGATTAATGTTCAACAGTCACTGGAAATTTCTCTGAAGCACTTCATTAACCATTAATCATACCAACATTTACTCGGTCAAAATATGATACAGCAGAAGTGGGTAACTGTACAACATGGATCATAAAGCTATTAGTCTCTGAACCATTCTGTTTGTATAATAAACGTCATTGGGCTACTATCCACTCCTGGCATTACATTCATTAATGTCATTTTTTTATCACAGTGGTGTCATACATCAACAGAAAGTTCACAACATATTGTTCATCAGGTCAAAAGTGTTCAATCCATAAACCACTGCGCACATTGCATGTTGAACCCCTTTCAACATACTTCAATTGACAACAGGACATTTTCGAGTACTTTAATGTGATGCTACACCGGCTTTTCGAAATAGAAACGTTAAATGAAATCGTAAATGTGGATTTACAGGAAATAGAAAATGAATATAAAACCAGCATGAACTGAAAGTAATAAATCAAACACTTGTCAAATAACAGTTTCAAAAGAAATATTTTTTCTATAATCTTCCTTCTCCGAGAGACATGTAGGGAAGTATGCAGTATGTTACATATCAACTTCCTTAAATAACTGAACTGATTTGTAAATGTACAACAGCTTATGATAAACAGGATTCCTCTCACACACTGTTTCGTTACTAAGGGAAGTACTGACTCCTCAGCCAGAATAAGAGGAGAAGGAAAACAAGATACCCGGAAGGAATCTACATGAATTTATATTAGCATGGTGTATATCGGAATCTAATGGTTTACACCAAATACATGTGGTGATGCTGATGTAGAAACAATAGCCATAACTGTTTCCCTAATGTGTGTTGTCAGATCAGGCCCTTTTAGCCCCGATGTGCCTGCAAATATAGCCAAACTGCAGGTTTGGTCATCGGCGTCATACTTTTTTGTGCTTCTGTGTATAATAGACTGTATGATAAACCTCTATATGAATGCTTGTATGTCGGGTATATGATGCTGAAACCGTTTGTTAAACTACAGCGAACGAGTAATACCATACTTTCTATCTGTAACGTAGACTGCAAATGTTGAAGGTATTTGAGAGAAATTCCTCTCATCAGAAACGTAATAAACTATGCATGAGGCATTTCAAATGCCGACATGATTATACACAAATGCATATACATACATTGTTGTCCTATGTTCACAAAAACTTGAGATTTAACTATGATAACTAAACCCTTCAAATAATATAAACTGAGGGCCAAAAGAAACGTTACCAACATTAACTGATTTTCCACTTTGAAACAAAGATGCCAATCTGTTCAAAAACAGTAAAGAACACATCTCACGAATACAACCTTCATGTTCTCTGTCGTTCTTTGCACGTGCTTTGTGGATTTTGGGAGATATTGGTGTTTTTCAGCAATTTATTAAAACATTCTTTCCCAAATTATCGTGCAATTTCCGGGTATAAATTACGCACGGATCTGTTCCCTATCATTGGTTGCGATGATTAACATCAACGAACATGCCAAGACTGACCGCTGTCCAGCGGGAGAGAGCCATAGGTATGCTGCAGATGGGAGCGACACAGAGAGCGGTTGCCATTAACATGAACTGCTCCAAGAAGACCATTTCCAGACTGGTCGCACGTCTCCGACAGACTAGCAGAACCGCAGACAGACCACGGAGTGGCAGACCAAAGGTCTCGACCCCGCACGATGACCGCTTTTTACAGGTACTTCATCTAAGGACGTCATCAGCTGCCAACAGCTTAGGACATCCGGTCATCAGACAAACAGTGACCAGACGACTACGACATTATGGCATGACCTTGACCCGTCAACATCGACGTGCCAGATTGACGAGGTGCAGGCAAACTCAGCGATGGCAACAAAGGGAATGGCGGAGAGTGCTGTTTCGTGACGAGAGCAGGTTCCAACTCTTCAAACCTGATGGGCGGACGCGAGTTTATCGACCACGTGGTGAACGTACGGCTCCTTGTTGTGTCCAGGAGGTGGAACCTTGCGGGGACGAGAAGACGGAACTTGTCATCATCGAAGGCAATCTGTCAGCACAACGCTACATTGACAATATCTTACGGCCAGTGGTTCTTCCTTTCATCCAGCGTCAACAACGGATGGTGTTCCAACAAAATAACGCCACATCCCATAAAGCCCGTATTACTAGAGACTTCCACAACGCCAACAACGTGACTGTCCTGCCGTGGCCAGCTCGATCACCAGATATGTCACCCGTAGAACATCTCTGGGACCAGCTGGGGCGTTGTCTTCGGAAACGTCAACATCCTCCCTTCACAAGACAAGCGTTGATCGTTGCCTTCCGTGAGGAATGGAATCGGATACCTGCAGTCGATGTGAGGACGCTTGTCCACTCAGTTCGACGCCGCATTCGAAGATGCATTGCCGCTCATAGAGGTCATATCCCGTATTGACCGGTCTGGGCCGTCGTCACCTTAAAGTTGTAACCAATGTTGTTGATCGAATACTGGACGAATGACCCCTTGTCAAGAAATGTCCCTGTTGGAGGTCAAGGCTTTGTTGTTGAATCAGTAAATTCGCATTTTACTGTTCTGAATGATGAATTTCTACAATACAATTGTTATTGCTGCTTCAAATTGTGTTGGTCATATTTTATCCTAGAAATATCGTTGGTAACGTTTCTTTTTATTAGTTTTGAGTTATGAGATTAACACTTTTCAGGCGACACGTGCATATGCCTGCAGATACCTTGCGTTGCGAACCAAACAATACGGTTGGTCATCAGTGTCATACGTTCGTATTTAATTGAGTTATCGAAAAACGCTTAAGAACCTTATACTAGTATTACTCACTAGGTGAAGAATCAGATGATGAGATACTAAATCTGTACGTCAGAGGTGCATCCTACAAGGCTGACCACGTTCTGTTCAATTTGGTTGGGAACCGTGACCTTTCTCACACCGGAACTACTTTTTTCAGTCAACTTCCTTCGTCACTCACTTTTACTACCCTGAGATAGAACTGAAGGACTCTCATGAAAATTTGGCATTTATAAACACTTAAATGAACGAACAAAATAGTCACACGACTCAAATTCGTTTTAAACTCTATATTATATAAGTAACGCGTAGAGGTACTAAAAGCATAATACAATCGGGCTATATTCGTTTGCTACATACGAAGATAGATCGTGGTCCCTATGAGTACGGAACCGTGACGGTCCGGGGTAGAATTCCCTGACGATTCCGGGTTAGAATAGGTCTTCAGCAACCCATGCTTGCCTTAAAAGGCGACTATACTTGCCGTAAGAGGCGAATAACGGGATGGGGTGGTCAGGCTCGCTGACTTGGTTGACTTGGGGCACGGGTGGCCCAGTCGTCTAAGGCGCCGCGATTCGCTATGCGGAGTTGCGTCCCTTGGGCACGCCAGAAACCTATGATCCCGGTTCGCCCCGATTTTGGTTCTAGGTTTGTCAGAACCATACCCGTGCTCGTGGGTTTCACCGAAGTGGTATACGTCTGAGACCTGCATCACTTCGGGCGTTCCTCCCACATTAAGCCCATTTCACTCACTCTCTCACGTTAATATTCCACGTAGACCCACAGACTCCAGAGGTCAATTCTTAAATAACTTGCATGTTAAGCAAGGTGATCTAATGAGGTCACCCGGCCTCACACACGCCGCGCCAGTCACAGAAAGTCGGAAGAAGAAACTAAAAATGTAAGCATGAATCAGAGGATCAAGCTATTAAAACGAGAACAGGCGATACACATGGAATAGAGGCGCCCGGACATTGCACAGGGATACAGGGGCCAAGTTAAAGTAAGTGTATTTCATGTCGACATTGAAGGAGCTGCTTTTACCTGTTTAATTGGCTGGCTCGGTTGTAATAATCGTAGATGTTATATATTAGTCAATATGAGTATGTATTAGATTCATTTGCGGATATTTGGTTTTCAGGTGCACGATGGCATTGTTGTTTGTCATGGTCATGGTCTGTATGGCTGATTCCACACAAGGTAAGAAGGACGAATGTAAACGTTAACGACGGACAGCCGCACCGACGGACAACACTCCACGACATGTGCTCACTTGAATTAGATTTTCAACCAAACATTTAGTCTCTCTCAGTGTGTTAATTAATACACTATAATGGTGTTTGATGAAAAATATAAAGTTTTAGGTTATTTTCCGGTCAAAAGGTACTTCAAAACCATTGTTCGAATATGTAAGGCCATGTGAGGATATGTAACAGCGATGGCAAATACAAAGTGACGTTATCATGATGGATACCTTATAAGTCCGTTCGGCCGCCGGTCCTTATCGGAGTCGTCAATTTTCAACATTTCTCCTGAAACAAAACTGGTTTCTCTTTGAATTCGCATAATCCGTTGGTTTTTTTAATCTGCTGTACCTTCGATGTACCTTTTGTGAGTATTTCCGACATATAATCGATCTTCCGATGTTGATGTTGAAGGTCTTGAAAGCCTTCGAGACCAATGAAGTTCCGGGATAGAATTGGTTTCAAGAAACATAAAATATCAATGCCAGAAAATAACCATCCAAGATTTTCTAACGAAACGATTAAATCCCATGCCTGCCGTAAGAGGAGACGAACGGGGTCAGGTTGTCAGGCTCGCTGACTTGGTTGATGTTAGTTATCGTTTCCCAATTGCGTAAATCGATGCTCATGATGTCAATCACTTGATTGTCTGGTCTAGACTTGCATATTTACAGACCACTGCCATATAACTGGAATATTGCTCAGTGTGGTGTCAAACAACAAACAGACAAACAAAACAAAAGAAAACATTTGAAGATGACCTTGAAAACAAGGTTAGAATTTCGTTAACTGTCGTGTCCTTTGAGCACGCCAGAAACCTATGATTGTGGGTTCGAATCCCGGTTCGCCCTTATTATGTTTCTAAGTTTGTCAGCACCATATCCGTGCTCGTTGGTTTCTACGGTTAACTTTGGTAAACGTCTGAGACCTGCATCACTTCGGGTGTTCCTCCCACATTAAGCTGACACGCCGCGATACAACTGTAATACTGTTAAAAGCGGCGTTAAACCCAACTCACTCACTCACTCACTCACTCACTCACTCACCATACCGTATGTCCGATGAGATCTGGACCTGATTAGATTGTGGATGATGGTCAAGCATCAGAGCTCACATCATGAAACATGACACCAACATCAGGACATTTTGGTTCAATTAAATAACTTTTCAGTAAGTTTGGGATAAAATAAAAAACATGGGTAGATTGTAAGGTTAGTAGGTCATAAAATGACTTGTGGGAAGTAGACTATGAAAGTTCATGGCAGTAGGGTAAAGACAGTTGGTGAAAAGAATTATTCCTGCTGTGATTGCAAAAATTGGACGTCAGTGTCTCTCTATTCATATAAGCGGTCAGAACTAGTTCAAAGTCATCAAATATTGTAACATTCAGGTTCAGGAAAAACATGTCAGTGGCTTACTATTCATCTGAATACTATGTGTTAAATAGCATCTACGTAATGAGAAGCTTGTTACCTGCATGATTAATCAGACATTTACAGATTGCTCAAGAAACGTCAAGGTTGTAAAACTGGCGGTGTTTGCAGCTCCAGACTTTAAGAAACCTGATTTTGTATTATCTCAGTGAATGAATTTGTTTAACGTTTAACGCTGTCTTGAACGTCTTGAGTGCAGAAAAGCCGGAAGAAATAGAGGTCTCAGACGTTTGACAATTTGGTGTCAAACCAAGGGCCATGAGCAGGGCGAATTTGAGATTAAGGGATCCTGGTTCGTCTAAGTGACGTAACTCTGCACAGTGTACCCCTTAAGATAAAATAGCCTTTACAATTAGGGTGCAATGGGAGTAAGGTAGCACTGCATTTATCAACATAGGATAAGGGAAAGGAATTATGTATGTTTGGATGTAGGGCTGCTGATTCATCACGTGTTATTTTGAGATAAGCGATACTGCCACTTTCAGCAGATTAATACTCTATGCTTGTATTTGACAGATGCGGAATGTAACGAGGGTCAGCATTGTTCAGACTGCGACACGGTGGGCATCTGCTTACAAGATTGTGACAAGGGACATTTTGGACATAAATGCAAGTCGCAATGCAGCATCACATGCAGATACAAGACCTGTACACTAGTTGAGGATAGAGGCATCGGCAAGTGCACTGCTGGCTGTGTACCAGGATATCAAGGCATAAGTTGTGACAGACCCTGTGACCACGTAGTCGAATGTACGCTGTGCCCAGGTGGATGTGATGGGGACTACTGCCAGCTGGGTGGGGTTTGTTTTGCTGGATGTAGAGATTCCTTCTACGGAGCTGCATGCAAGACGTGCCCCAGTCACTGCAGAACCTGCAGCAGGATGACAGGAGTATGTGACGAGTGCGACCCAACACATTATGGAGAGAACTGCGAGAAGTCGTGTGAGAACTGTGCAGGATCCTGTGAGTCCAGCTGTGAATGTGTTCCTGGCTTCTACGGGGATTTCTGTGCCGAGACTTGCAGTAAAACATGCCGCCCTAAGTCAGTCCACAAGTGTCTTCCATTTCCTGGTATGACGTCAGACAATTGTACAGGTGAATGTGACAAACACAGTGCCGAGTGTCTCCATGGTTGTGTGGATGGCAGGTTCGGGCCGACGTGTTCTTCTCCTTGTAATCCTGGATGCCGACATCAAAGGTGTCATGCTGCAGGCTCTTGTGCTGAAGGCTGTGAACGTCACCATTTCGGTCCTGCCTGTGAACCATGTCCTGAGAGCTGCGTCAACCAGACATGTGACTCTAACAACGGCTCCTGTGTAGCTGGGTGTCGTGACGGGTTGTATGGGGAACACTGCAATGAGACCTGTACGTTATGTCCACGTGGTGTCTGTGATCAGCACACTGGTATCTGTGTGAGGCACTGCAATGTCACCCAGGAAGGACGTCAGGTCAACTGTACAAAGCCTTGCTCCCCACCAGGATGCTCGACAGGCTATCGTAACTCCAGTGAGTTGATGTGTATACATACAATGTATAATGGCTGATATTGGCTATTATTAATTCAAAATGGAACATAGAACTTTCAATTTTATGTTTCGCGTTTTACTCTGCATCTTTAGTTTTGATAAAGCATACACATTTGTAACAGAATTCATGTTTGTCCATAAACTATAAGAAACCTCCTATTGAACCATTCTGACCATAACATTGGCATGTGCTTACGAATCACCATCAATTAGTGAGATACCCAGGTGTTCTCGAGATGGTAAGAAATTATAAACCAGCATCAGTGTACACTTGCCAGATTTGAAGCTATTTCACAACAAAAGTATTGTTTTGATGTTGCAGTTGCCCCGAGGCTTATGTTCATATGGCAGTTGTCAAGACTTATATTCATGTAGCAGTATTCCACAGACTAAATGTCCATGTGACAGTTGTCCACAGACTAAATGTCCATGTGGCAGTTGTCCACAGACTAAATGTCCATGTGGCAGTTGTCCACAGACTAAATGTCCATGTGACAGTTGTCCCCAGACTAAATGTCCATCGGGCAGTTGTCCACAGACTAAATGTCCATGTGGCAGTTGTCCCCAGACTAAATGTCCATGTGGCAGTTGTCCACAGACTAAATGTCCATGTGGCAGTTATCCCCAGACTAAATATCCATGTGGCAGTTGTCTCCAGACTAAATGTCCATGTGGCAGTTGTTTCCAGACTAAAAGTCCATGTGGCAGTTGTCTCCAGACTAAATGTCCATGTTGCAGGTGTCCCCAGACTAAAGGTTAATGTGGCAGTTGTCTCCAGGCTCATGTTCGTGTGACTGTTGTCCCTAGACTCATGCTCATGGGTTAGTTGTCTCCAGACTAAATCTCCATGTGGCAGTTGTCTCCAGACTTAATGTCCATGTGGTAGTTGTCTCCAGACTAAGTGTCCATGTGGCAGTTGTCTCCAGACTAAATGTCCATGTGGCAGTTGTCTCCAGACTAAATGGCCATGTGGCAGTTGTCTCCAGACTAAATGGCCATGTAACACTTGTCTCTAGACTATATGTCCATGTGGCAGTTGTCTCCAGACTAAATGTCCATGTGGCAGTTGTCTCCAGACTAAATGGCCATTTGGCAGTTGTCTCCAGACTAAATGTCCATGTGACAGTTGTCTCCAGACTAAATGTTCATCTAACACTTGTCCCCAGACTAATGTTCATATGGCAGTTGTCAAGACTTATATTCATGTAGCAGTATTCCACAGACTAAATGTCCATGTGACAGTTGTCCCCAGACTAAATGTCCATGTGGCAGTTGTCCACAGACTAAATGTCCATGTGGCAGTTGTCCCCAGACTAAATGTCCACGTGGGAGTTGTCCACAGACTAAATGTCCATGTGGCAGTTATCCCCAGACTAAATATCCATGTGGCAGTTGTCTCCAGACTAAATGTCCATGTGGCAGTTGTTTCCAGACTAAAAGTCAATGTGGCAGTTGTCTCCAGACTTAATGTCCATGTGGTAGTTGTCTCCAGACTAAGTGTCCATGTGGCAGTTGTCTCCAGATTAAATGTCCATGTGGCAGTTGTCCCCAGACTAAATGTCCATGTGGCAGTTGTCTCCAGACTAACTGGCCATGTAACACTTGTCTCTAGACTAAATGTCCATGTGGCAGTTGTCTCCAGACTAAATGTCCATTTGGCAGTTGTCTCCAGACTAAATGTCCATGTGACATTTGTCTCCAGACTAAATGTTCATCTAACACTTGTCCCAAGACTAATGTTTATGTGGCAGTTGTCTCCAGGCTCATGTTCGTGTGACTGTTGTCCCTAGACTCATGCTCATGGGTTAGTTGTCTCCAGACTAAATCTCCATGTGGCAGTTGTCTCCAGACTAAATGTCCATGTGGCAGTTGTCTCCAGACTTAATGTCCATGTGGTAGTTGTCTCCAGACTAAGTGTCCATGTGGCAGTTGTCTCCAGACTAAATGTCCATGTGGCAGTTGTCTCCAGACTAAATGTCCATGTGGCAGTTGTCTCCAGACTAAATGTCCATGTGGCAGTTGTCTCCAGACTAAATGTCCATGAGGCAGGGGTCCCCAGACTAAATGTTTACGTGGCAGTTGTCTCCAGACTCATGTTCCTGTGACTGTTGTCCCTAGACTCATGCTCTTGGTTTAGTTGACGACAGACTAAATGTCCATGTGGCAGTTGTCTCCAGACTAAATGTTTATATGGCAGGTGTCCCCAGACTAATGTTTATGTAGCAGTTGTCTCCAGACTCATGTTAATGTGACTGTTGTCCCTAGACTCATCCTCATGGTTTAGTTGACGACAGACTAAATGTCCATGTTGCAGTTGTCTCCGGACTAAATGTCCATGTGGCAGGTGTCCCCAGACAAAATGTCCATGTGGCAGTTGTCTCCAGACTAATGTCCATGTGGCAGTTGTCTCAAGACTAAATGTCCATGTGGCAGTTGTCTCAAGACTAAATGTCCATGTGGCAGTTGTCTCCAGACTAATGTCCATGTGGCAGTTGTCTCCAGACTAAATGTCCATGTGGCAGGTGTCCCCAGACTAATGTTTATGTGACAGTTGTTTCCAGACTCATGTTCGTGTGACTGTTGTCCCTAGACTCATGCTCATGGGTTAGTTGACGACAGACTAAATGTCCATGTGGCAGTTGTTTCCATTTTAACGTCCATGTGGGAGCATGGGTGGCCCGGACATCTACAGCACCGCAATTCGCTGTGCAGGGTTGCGTCCCTTGGACACGCCAGAAACCTATGATCCCTGATTATGTTTCTAGGTTTGTCAGCGCCATACCCTTGCCAAAAATGATAGACGTTTGGGACCTGCATCACTTCGAACTTTCCTCCCACCTCAAGCTGGTGGCCGTGATATAACTAGAATACCGTGCAAAGCGGTGTTAAACCCAACTCACTCACTCACTATTGTTCATGTGGCAGTTGTCCCAAGACTAATGAAGTGTTTTGTTTGTCAGCTCTTCGGACACGGTATCGCATCAGCACAACTACACTGACGTCGGTTGTGTGTGCAGTCGTCCTTTTCGTTCTGGTTGCAAGTTCCGTGTGCTGCGTCTGTTTCCGCAATGGCCCGTGTATACAAAGGTAAGTGTAGCTGCATTGTCAAGAAAGTCGTCTGTGTGTCGGGTTGAAAATGTTATATATGAGTAAGTCAGTTTTGCGTGGTTTGCGTGGTTTGCATGTATTTATGGAGACCAGTTTCACCAATAGTTTATTATATAGCGGGCATTTCAAATACGAATCAAGAGTATTTGACAGACGGCAAACAAGTATTTGCTAATCACTCCTTCTTCTTGGAGAAAGAAAAGATTCAGATGAGAGTTTTCTTAGAAGTTGTAAAATAACGAGATAATAGACTGAAGTCGTTTAAAATCCATCATCTTCCAATGTAATTGTGTTTCAATACTGTTTAACTAGAACACACAAAAAAGATAACTTAACATTGAACTAAAACTATATTTCACTAGCAATTAGTAATCATGGTGGTTTTCTGCTAGGAGACATTAATAAGCTCAATTTGCCAAGACTCATTAATAGTCGACTAGATCTGGTCTGATAATCAGTCTCTGGTTTCACTTTTTCTTGCTGATTTTGACTTCCGTGGCAGCTCTCCGAGTTTTGTTTTGTGATGTGATCACATTCTCAGACGCATTTTGTTTGTTCTTTTGCACATAGCCCTTTGGCACGTTGAGCCTGGAATTTTCTTTCTCTCTTGGTTTCAGTGTTGATCTCAGGTGTTGTCAGTTGTTTCAGTATTTTCATCTGTCTAAACGTCACATCTACTTTTCACCTTTCTTTCCTGTTTCAATTGGCTTGACTCTCAGTGTGTTACCTCGGGGAAGATGTTTGATGTCATTGTGACGTTGTGATATAAATGAGAATGTTCAGCAGTTATTGCCTTTTTGTCTTCAATTGTCTCACTTTTTTCTCTCATTTTCTTCAATTTCCTCTTTGTGAATGAAATGGGGGCCTTGTCTCACTCTAAGAAGAGCCGACCAAAGTTAGGTTTTATTCTTCTGCCACATATTCTTTGGACGACTCTGCAGGAGTGTTGGTAATGTCCAGTGGTCCAAGCTAAGCGTCTTCTCCAGATGATTGAAGAAAAACTGATGTTGTGGATTTGAAGAAATTAGAATTTGAAAGAGGAAAGGTGGCTGTAGAAATTGATAAAGAAATGGGACTTGAAGCTGAAGAAGAGAAAGAAAAAGAAAAAAGATAATTTTTACTTGAGGAAATCAAAGCCGAGAAAGTGAGTGAGGTTTAAGGCCACTTTTAACAGTATTCCAGTCATATCGCGTCAGCTTCATGTGGGAGGAAAGCCCGAAGTGATGCAGGTCTTAGACGTTTACAACTTCGCTGAAACCCATGAGCACGGGTATGGTGCTGACAAACCTAGAAACATAATCGGGACGAACCGGGATTCGAACCACAATCATAGGTCTCTGGCGTGCCCAAGGGACGCAATTCTGCACAGCAAATTGCGGCGCCTTAGACGACTGGGCCACCTGTGCCCCCAAAGCTGAGAAAGAAAACTTGAGATTGGAGGCTGATAAAGAAATTGAGCTGAAACAACTTGAATAACAGAAAGATTGCTCTCTCAATACCTCAACAAGTGATTGATCTGTTGATCGTTCACAAGGCAAAAGAATCTCTGCACTAGATTGAAGTGACTGTAATTAATAAACTTAAAATAACAAAAGTTTGAGGTATAGTATATTTAATAAAGCAACAATTTCACAAAGTATTGAACAACCTCTCGGGGTTTACCAGAGGTAGGGCAGCACTACTGGACAGAGGATGTCATCTCTATACCATTACACATTGAGGCTCCCATAGATGACGACGAGAGGCGTTGTCTGGTCTCTGAACCCCACGCTATAACGCTATCTCAACCGTAAGGAACGACTTCTTGAACGCGGTAATCATCTGTCAGTTCACCTCTGCGACGGTTAACACGCACTCTGCCATCAACTCTAAACAAGCCTGCTTTCGTCCGTAAAGACCACGCGTTCCCAATCCGGACTCTGCCATCGTCGCACTGTATTTGCCCATCGTATTCGTCTGCGTTGATGTTCAGCGGTCAACATCTGTCCTCTGAACGGTAAGTACCTGATACCTGCTGCCCCGAAGTCTTCTGGTCACGGTGTGTGCTCATCCGCCGACCCAAATCATCACTGCCGATGACGTCACTGTGAGGATGCGGTTGCGGAGGTGCAACGTCTACAGGTACCGGTCTTCATGTGGCGTAGTGACCCGTGGTCTCCCTGTCCTGGGCCTGTCGGATGTCCTTCCAGTCTGTCTGAGACGTTTCACTAAGGTTTTTTTTATAACGGCAATACGGGAACAGTCAAAGATCCCCATCTGGACCTTCCCAACTGCTTGCACAAAAATGTTCTGTTGTTAATCTTGGCATTTCAAATGTGGTTTGTTTACAATGTGGATGTTTGACATTGCTACTGTGCAGTTTTTATACACCTTTGGCATTTCTAACAACAATGACAACGCTCGGTTTTACATTTTTCGCATTTTCTCAAAAACACGTATGAATTGTCGGTAAAAATTACAGGTACAACAACGATGGGTTTGGGCTATGTGTTTGTGTCTATTTGGGTTTGAACCAGTGCAACTACTTTAAAATCAAATTTTCAAATGTGCAAAGATTTTGTTGCCATCCAGTTTAGACAGATGTATGAACGTTATGTTGAAAAGTTTTTCTTACATTTTGAAAAGGTGGCTAACAGTTTGAAATGCCCTGAGAATCAGTGGACCACTTGTTGCAAAGTGTATTTCAGGGTAAAGCTCAGGAAGTTTATTCTGCCTCACAGTTTGAAAGGAGTTCTTATTATCAGGTTGCTACGGCTGCAGTCATGAGGACTTCCGGAATGGTTCCTAAAGCTAATAGGCAAAAGTTTAGTTCTGCTAAGAAAAGAGATCATTCTGGGTGGTGCACTTCAAAGGAGGCCAATTGTAATTTTAATAGTTTGAAGCAGTTTAATTTGCTGAATGATTTTAGGCAGTGTGTGTCAACAGACATTCAGACATGAATTTGATGAACAGAAAGTGGATCAGTTACACAAGGCTGCTACTATGGCTGATGAGTTAGTTTAAGGCAGTCAAGGTTTTCCGGAAAGGAGAGCTGATCCCTCCTACATCTAGTTCTAGTTTTGTTCTGAATTTGTTGACAGAAAGTTCTACTCCGGTTGGTTCTAGAGATACTTTTATATTTCCGTTGCAGCCTATTTGTAAATGTTAGCCATGGCATATAATTTCTGAGTGTAAAAAGCTCTCCTTTTAAAAACTTTCATTCCTTCCCTTGTGTCTTTGTGAATGTCAGGTTATAGCCGTTTTCTGGTTCCGACGATGAGGAGTTTGCCGTTGCAGACCAGTCATCGAAGTCTGTTGTTATGAGAGAAGAATACTGACCTTTTGTTTGTAAATTAATTTAGTCAGCTAATGGTGACAGTTCCAATGTTAAGCCCATTGCTGTTTTGAGGGATACTGGCGCTTACTTACTTACTTACTTTCTAGATTTAACGTGCGCTTTCCGACTGATGCGTATTTCGCACACGGGCCCGGCCAGGCCATTTAATGTGTTTCCGAAAGGGGCGAAAGTGGTCTGTGCAACCCAAGAGGGGGGTTTAGGGGTTGCTTATATAGAATTTGGGAATTTTGAGATTTGGAATAGATGCCGATGGGGTTGGGGAGGAGAACTAAGGGAGCTGGGTATGGTGGATGTTTGTTTGTTTATGTGATTTTGATTTGGTGGGTTATTGTGTTTTTAGATGCGTTTTATTAGTTCCGTTTTTATTAAGAATACGCCTAAGGCCTTGAAGTTTTCTAGTTTATTTTGTGGGTTTAGTATTGCTTTTAGAGTGAGAGCCTTGTTTAGATTGAGGGTGGTTTGTAATGCGGTTCGAAGTGTTAGGTAGTGTGTGCAGTGGATGAGTGCGTGTTCTGGGGTTTCTGGTTGTTTGCAGTGTGGGCAGTTACCTGTAGTGTGTTTTTTTAATTTTTTTTAGGTGATTATTTAGGTTGGTGTGTCCTGTCTGGAGTTTAGTGATTACTCTGTCGATTTTTTTGGATGGATGGAGAATTTTTGTTTGGTTAGTGGTTTGCTGAGCACTTTTTTGATTTGGCTATTTGAGTTTAGATATCGGTTGATTTTGAGATGGGTAAGTTTAAGCTTATTTCTGGGATTTTGAGGGATAGTTTAGCTGCTTTATCGGCGTTTTCATTACCGTATATTCTTACGTGGGCGGGTATCCACAAGAAGGTTATTTGTTTGCCTGCCTTAGTTAGGTCGTTGGAGCTTTCAAGTATTTGATTTATTAATTTAGGTCGGTATTTGGTATTTTTGTTTTGGAGGGCTTGCAGTCCACTTAGGGAGTCGGTAAGTATTACGATTTTTTTGTGGTTTTTGGATTCTTGATTATGGAGGGCTGAGGCCATGCCCATTAGTTCTGCCGTGAACTACTGGCGCTTTTCCATCTCTGCTTTTGGATGGTATTTTGCAACTTGCTGAGGAGTCATCAGCAAACTCTGAGGTTTTGTTAGAGAGTTTAAGTGGTTTTACCTGGGGTGCCCCCGGTTTCCCAACATTTCTTAAAACAACAAACCCAGTCAGGCGTAGAACAATAGAGGGGTTAGTTTGGGTACACTATTGGTAGGGGTGCTGGTGGGTGAGTTACGTTCACCCACCTGCCAGATTGAACCGTGTTCACTAATTTACACTTATGCGTGAGCGTAGTGATCACCAATTAATAAACAGTGTTTCTTACACACCCGTGGGTGAGAAACCCATTTGAGATAACTGGTATCAAACATATGTGTGAGATCGAATTCCAGGCCCGTGATTGGCTACTCCATGGTGATGACCTGAGGTCAGATGATGACGGACTACTTTCCTTATAGTAATTCATTGATAAGTTTCTCTTGCTTCAGTCGAATGCAGACCTGTTACTCATGCCAAGCCCGTTGATACCTACCTGTTACCTACTTGTTATTTTCGCGATTGTATGGAAAGCAAGTATTTATGCAATAAAACAAACATAGAATAAATAAAAACATTTATCTATTTTTCTTTT